CTTCACTTACGCCTTGATTCTACACCCTGGCCACTGCTGTCCACGGGCGCACATATTCCAGTGCATCTGGAGTGGTCATCTAGCACTCTTAGGTGGATCCAAGGCCCGTTATTACGCACGGCGTATTATTCTACATCCCAGTTTGGCTGTGGCCATTGGATGAAGGGTTGGATGAGCGGCATGAAAGGGGATGGTGCGGGAAATCCTGTATCAACAATGATAATAAATAGGTGCTTGATACACAGTGGTTATATATATAAAGTATGTGCCTTACATAACAAGCGCTAATAGCTCAGTTGGGAGAGCGTCAGACTGAAGTCATTCGGTCCTATCCATATCCGGGGTAATCTGAAGGTCACCCGTTCAATCCGGGTTTGGCGCATGTCTTTTTTGACGTTTTTTCTTTTCTTTGACGTTTAGTTACAACTGTCACATACTTGACAAGCTACCCAAATTGATTCTGTATTTTACGCTTTTTAACTTTGTGCAGCCGCTGTGACGATTTTCATCAATGTCTGTCACCGGTCACATGGAGATCCAAAGTGATGTAATGCAACCAAAGTACAATTAGGAAGGAAACTGAATTACTATGATAAATCCGTCACTCTAAATAAAACCCTACCTCCAAAGATACGCTTCGACAAAACAAGGAAAATAAAGAAATCGTGATCGTTAATACACAAGAAACCGCCTACTGATGGTACTTTCCGTTATCGTACTTTCCCGGGTACCACTTTCCATTGTCATATCCAGTGTAACCTCCCTCATACTTTCCAGGGTACCATTTTCCATCGTCACGTGCGTAATCTCTCTTGTTGTACTTGTTTGCGTGCCATTTTCCATCATCGTAACCAGTTCCCTTGCCTTCGTACTTTCCAGGGTACCACTTCCCGTTATCGTATCCGGTATAACCGCCTTCGTACTTTCCGGGGTACCACTTTCCGTTGTCGTTTCTCTTCACTTTCTCATCGTTGGTCTCGTCTGTGGAGTCGTCCTCAGCACCGTCCTCGGATCGTTTGTCGTACTTTCCAGCGTGCCATTTTCCGTTGTCATAACCGGTACCGTAACCCTCATACTTTCCAGGGTACCACTTGCCATCGTCTTTGGCATCTCTCTTCTCGTACTTTCCCGGATACCACTTTCCGTTATCCACACCAGTGTATCCCCCCTCGTACTTTCCGGGCCACCATTTGCCATTGTCAACGCCGGTGTAGCCACCCTCGTACTTTCCAGGGTACCATTTCCCGTTGTCGGATCGCTTATCGTACTTGGTAGGGTACCACTTTCCGTTGTCGTAGGGAGTTCCGGGGCCTTCATACTTGCCCTGGTGCCATTGACCGTTATCGTAGTGTCTGTAGTTGCGGGCTTCGAGTTCGGGGGTTGACTCGGAAGCAGTAGCTGCTGGAAGTGCGGTCACCGAAGCGACTAGGAGAGCGAGGGAGAGGAGGTTGAACTGCATTGTGAAGGTGTTTTGATGTAATAAAGAATATTGTGTGCAAGAGAGAATTAGGATTGAAGTAAAGGTATTTGGCTGGATGTGTTTGTATGCTTGTGAAGGTGTTGATGAGGATGATGAGAATTATGGAAAAGCGAGAGATTTAGAAGGGTTATATACATCGCCATCAACATAGATAGTTTTACTTTGCGCAGTTTTGATATCTTCAACGATGACCATGATTAGGATGGTGTTGCACCAAAATTAGACTCGTCTTAGAACACTGGACAGTCGCATGCAGGTGAGATAGGGCTGAGCAAATTTGTGGTAAAACCCCATTCCATGGACTCGGGCGAATCAGAGATACAGTGAAATAAGTTCTTTGTTTTTTGCTGATGGCATAAGGTTCAGCCTCTAAGACTGTGCGCGCTGTCTCGGCTACTGTTGCTATCAGGATGAAGAAAGTCGGAGACCATGACACCGCACCTTCGGAAGTGAACTATCTACAAGACTCTTTCTTTTTTAATGGTTGCTTAAAAGTTCATCCCCTTACTTTGTATGTGTTGGCTCGGTTATTGTTGTATCGGGATGAAGAAAGTCGGGATTTGTTATGCCGCACCGGTGGTTTGAATTAAGCGATTTAGAAATCACCGGTAAAAACGAAAAAATGCATCAGAATTCTGTAAAGGCCATGATAGAACTCGTACGGGTTGTTGTTTGTCGCTGTAAGTTTTGAATTTCTGATGCCCTGCCTCGATGGATATTCCATGGAAACTCTAATCGGCAGTTCAGCATGACACGGCAAAGGTGATGATAGATCATGATTCCGACGGCGGTCGGTTGCCTATCTGACTGCTCGGCCGATGAGTAAGGCCATATCTCACTATTTTCTGAGCGAGGAACAACCATGAACTTTCGAAGTAACTTGACGCCATCCATATCCCGGACCGCACAATCTCGCAGAAGTTTAGGATTATTCTAGTACATAGCCCGGTCTCATTGCACAGTCAGGAGCCAAGAGATTCTGCGAGTCGGGGTGAACTTTTCCCAGAGGCAAGATGATGCGATTCGCTCTTCTTTTTCTTCAGCCATGAGGCCCAATGATGAGCTCAAGTCGACGCTGTATGGCTGCCGAAACGAGAACCACTGTCATCGAACGAATTGCGATGATGGTAATTCTTACCAAAGTTACAAAAATGGTCATGATGGTTGTCTGATTAGGCTGCGATGTTGCTGACGATGATGTTTGTTTGCAATCGTCCAATCGTGAGCCCTACGCAAGATGAGACCATCATGCATGTCTAAAACCTAGATTCCTAAGATAGACCCTGCCAAACCCGGATCCTTGATATCAGAATGTGGTAATATACTCTAAGCGAGTGGCTCAGCCAGCATGACACGCTGGAAATAGCTGTAGGGCTGAGCACACGTGCCACAACCCGCCAGTGAACGACGTGCACAGCAGGTTTGAGCGTAAAATTACTGCTGTTACCTATGTTCGATTACCGACAGGAAAACAAGCTTCGCAGTCAGCCAACGAGCCAGAACAGTCTGCGCTTATGCGGCTATCGTGAAAATATTGCGCGAACTGGGTGATCATTGTGTAAGATCAGCGGCTGGAAGTTATCACCTGCTCTAAAGCATTAACTTGACTGGAAAACGGATTTGTAAAAGAAACCTGAGCGGAAGATGGTCTGCCGAGCGATGAGCCCTTAGTTAGGGAAAATGAAAGTGCGAAAGCAAAAAAATATTCCGTTACGGGGAATTGAACCCCGGTCTGGCCGGTTTAATGCCCTGCATGAGAGCGGCCGATGCTAGCCACTACACCATAACGGATCATGCATGGAGTAATAACTACGCTCCTATAAGGACTTTTGTTAACTAGTCGGCCAACTATCTTAGGTTTTGCCGACAGAAGTCACTCAACAATAATAAAAGTCAGCATAGATAGCGTTGCGAGATAAATTTTGAAATAATAACCTGCGGAATGAGCAGCTATGTGTGAGCTTTTGAACATTTCGCGACGTTGCATTGAGAGGCCACAGCTTCCATGCGTGGTGGGGTGAAGGGCAAGCTGTGGAACTGGCAAAGCTCCAGGTGTCCACCACCTTCCACAGCACACCTCATTGCCAATTCAACCTCTCCACACCGAACTGAACTCACCGACGTTCACCTACACCTCTTAGCTTGTCGTCAGCTATCTGTCTAATTCCTGCCACCGTCTACGAGCGAAGCTCGCAGCTGAAGCACCCCCGAGCGACGACAGCCCCCGCAGGCTGCAGCAGTCCCCCCCTTCAGTGTAACCAGTGTAACCAGTATAACCAGTATAATCATAGACGTCTAACACTCCTACAGATTCCTACACCTTACGATAGCTATCGTTCCCTACGGTTACCACTGTCATGGCCCTTACCTCATCACGCTTCAAGTGAGGAGTTGAAGGACCTCCCTACGGCTTCCCCGCTATCGGACCACCGGTTATCAACCCCGCTACGCCTGGAGCTATGTTACGGCGAGCCCTGCAGGAATACACTTCTTCTTGAGTATGAGGGCGATACGACCGTTGGCCCCTTCTAGGGCGTGAGTGGGGACTCACCGAACTAGACAACCGCTATCGGTTGTTCCACTTCAAGGCCATAGATAATGCGCTCGACAACTTCTCAACAATTTCTCAAAAACTTCTTGCGGCTGTGCACAGCTCCTCCCTATCGTCACAACACGCGGCAATTTATGATCACCCGACAGCTTCTTTCTGTACCGTTCCCTTGCGCTCCAACACCGCGGCACTGATCTACGAGCAATACCGGCACCCTTCGATACAGTGCTGCCGTTTAACATCCCGCGCAGGTCGCTGCGTGTCACATTTGCGTCGTACACTCAATTACTACCCTACTGAACATAAACCTTTGGTAAAGCAGACAACTATACAAAGCCTCGCTAGCTCAATCGGTAGAGCGTCAGACTCTTAATCTGAAGGTTGCGGGTTCGACCCCCGCGTGGGGCTTTCTCTTTGCTGCTTGTCTCGTGGGTGTTCGGCGTTGTGAAATTTTTTTGGCGGTGGGGCGGGCCACTTTAGTTTGATCGATCTCCCGTTTTTTTTAGTGAAGCGAGTCCATCCCAGGCGGCAGCCGCTGTGTCTTGGGTGTTTGTAATTTCTACCGCTGCTTGAATCAACAACCAGTGCAACGAGAGGTTTTATCCCGGCTTAGAATTAGCAGTTCCTTATCTATAGACCTAAAATTTAGGTACCACAATACTTGTGTCTCGTTATTCGCGAGCTGCGTGAAAACAACCTGAAAAAAGCATTGCTGAAAGTCACCGAAATTCATCGTTGATTGATATCAATGACCGCCAAGATTCAAAAATCAAGATCTTGCCCTCCTCACGTCAACTTCGACGGACACTGTAAATTGCCAAAAGAAAAACAGAAATACCAGTGTTATTCAGAAAAATGAGTATTTACCGACAGTGCTCTAGTATCTTGGCAGGTTTACACCGAAGACAGCAAAAAGAACCACCACAAGAACCGTATGTAAAAAGATGAACGTTGAAGTGCAGAGCAAAATGATTCAGCCGGGATTCGAACCCGGGTCGAGCGCAGAATGCTACAGGACCGAAGTCCTTGATGGCAAGCGCTCATGATACCCCTACACTACTGAATCGTATTCATGTCGTCCGACTACCGGTTACCGGTCTAATGTCTTGATGAAAGTTACTGGAAGTGATGCGGTACCTTGGTTGGTAGTCAGGACTAAACAAGTTTGAATACCACCGAATGCTTCCAGTTGTATTGAATCCGCGATATTGATCTCTCAAGTATTTGACTGAACCAACAGGGTAACGTCCGACACGCACTATCAAAGCCAAGCGTATTGGGACAAGAATATGAACTGTCCATCGGTGTTTTCAACCGAGATTCAAGTATTTTGCCGCATGAAAAGCCTAACGTCCGACACACGCACACACCATCAAAGCTAAGCGTGATGGAACAAGAATATCAACCGTCCATCGGCGTTTCCAAGTTTCATCCGAAATTTCTTCATGAAGAATGTGTATTTAGTTTCATGTTGACTACACCATCATAAGAGTATATAACCAGCTTGGATGGTCTAGAGTCTAATAGACAAACTACAGAGCCACTTCATCCAACACCCGAAACTACAATGACGGCAACAGAATCAACCCCACAGAACCGGCGACCTGGATTCGTCCCTCAAGGAATTCTACTTCAAGTACCGCCTATGGCGCTGCAAGCAGCCTCGAACTGGAGACCCGAAAAGTTTAGCCAAATGATTGAACTGCATAAAAGAGGTGGTCTGGATCAAAGAGGGTCAATGTTGCTGGGTATAGCTATGGAACTTCATAGGCAGAAGAAGATTTACATTGAACAGCGGCAATGACACAGAGAGGGCATCGGGTATGATCCAAGCTATTGATTATCTCCCCAAAATTTTGGAGGAATGATGCTGACAAATCGTGATCCGTAGCCAACTTGAACCAGTTAGTGTCAGTCGAAGAACTCTAGCAAAGGCTACACTCAGCTTGCGGACCACGTATTTTTCTTAACAAGTTCGGGAGAAAGCCTGTGTAGGTAAACAGCTATTCGCCATCGACTCCGAGATTGATAGTCGTAGCGTTACTCGAGGAGCGTACGATTATGGCGGGAAGTCTGGTGATGGGAAAAATACGATGTGCCAGCGGCGGTTCTGGGACGACTTTTTGAACCCGAATGTCTTCTTACAAGTATTGAGTTTTATTTGTTAGGAGATGTGGTTTGGTGGCTGAAGAAGGCACTGGTAATGGATCGTGTTAAAATATTGAGGTGGAATTTTGTTGTAAATACATAGCTGCCATTCAGACGTGTTTTAACTCCAGTGTGAATCTCAAACATGTTTAGCGTCTTATCGTTTCGCGAACCGCGACTACTTACATAGCTTGGAACAGTCGGTGTCTGTTAAGGAACTTAATCGATCTCGGCCTATGGATCACGGATTTCCACCAGCAACTTCGGAAACTTGCATAGCGTAGACGGAGAGAACATTAATGGTGAACTTACCCCTCGCCTCTCTCCCAGACAGGATTACAACTGACATGAGTATCACCAACCCATAACAGCCATGGCCTGATGACCCTTTGTCATTCGTTTCATCCACGTTCCATCAATCGCGAGTTTATGTCCAAGTTGAGAGACTGCCAAATGCGACAACAGACATCAAGAAGCTCGGATGGTCTAGTGGTATGATTCTCGCTTAGGGTTGACTCTAAGTACCTGTACAGGCTTGCGAGAGGTCCCAGGTTCAAATCCTGGTTCGAGCCGATCCTTTTGCTCCTCATCAGTTTGTAATGTTGAGCGTTCCCCTTTTTTTGCTGGTGGTGCGGGCGTGGATTGGTGTGGCGGGCTAGGGCGTTGGTCTGGGCCGCTCTAGCGGCGCGACACCAATCCACGCCCGCACCACCAGCAAAAAAAGGGGAACGCTCAACATTACAAACTGATGAGGAGCAAAAGGATCGGCTCGAACCAGGATTTGAACCTGGGACCTCTCGCAAGCCTGTACAGGTACACTACATAAATACCGCTCTTCGTGAACCCGCGACTTCACGAAGAGCGGTATTTATGTAGTGATATCTCGAAACATGCTACATTCATCCATGTTGGAAGAGGTCGTTCTTTCCTTTTCTGCGAATACAGTGTTTTAATTATTATAAAACCCATTGAACTCTCAAAATTTGCACACACTCGTTTTCTGTAGGAATGTTGCGTATGGAGTATTTACAGACAGTTTCTGCTTGTTCTAGTGGGACTGTCTGGTGCATAGCTGATCGCCGGGATAATTATCGCGTCTTGATGAACTTGGAATTTGCTGATGTTTTAATCTTTGGACCTAGTAATACTTATATGACCTTTGCTGCCACTGATTCCGCCTCGTTTCCACTCTCTACACAACCACCTACATTCTACTGCACCAATTATCCAAGCTATATCCAGAAACATCACGATACATAAAGATCCGAGAGATCCGCTACTTTTACGACCAGAACTCCGATCAGAAAACCCAGATTACTCCGGCCTCATCATAGACTCTTGTCGCAACAGCTTGAAGACTTCAGCCCCAATGGACTCTTCACAATGCTTAAATGAACTGGAGCCCGCACGATCAGAGAATGCAGCGGACAACAACTTGAAAGCCATCACGAAAGATCAATACCAGGCGGCTCAGTTCTTTGTTGATAGTGTACAAGCGGTCAAATAATACGAACACCATAATTCATCTGATTATTTAGACATGTGGCAAAGACGTCCAGTACCAACACAATTACATACGCCGGCAGTCGCGCCTAGCTTATCACTATCAGTTCATCACCCCGATACTCGGTATCTCATCATTCGTACACGGAACCAGTATCGACATGAATAAGTATTGGAATGAGAAATAACATATTTGGTCGACAATGTTGAAACACGCAAAGAGTTGGAAAGTACATTGGATTGGTTAACTAGCTATAGAGTGAGGGAGAAGCTAGATATACAGAACAGTCATCAACATAATATAAATACAAGATACTCATAAGAGAAAGGGACAACATAGGAACGGATACAGATGCATCTTGCAACAGACAAGCTACACACCCTACCCAGCGCATCACCAAAGTTAATTACCCAAATACCCAATCATACATACTTACAGCTTCCTCAGCTGCCTCAGGATCCTTAGATGCCCCCATTCCAGTCCCACAAAACATCATCATCATCATCATCATCATCATTCGAGTCATTGGCATCGTTACGGCCATTGCCATCCTCCTCGTAATCATCCCGCTCATTGACACTTGACAATCGATAGGGGTCGTACGGTTAGGGTTTTTTTGAGCATGGTTCATCGGATCATCATCATCCCACTTCATCACAACATTACCATTATCCATGTCCTGGATAACCGATTCATCATTCTCCATATCATCTTGTTCAAGTTCCCAGTCTTGATCTTCGTTATTACCAATACTATGAGCTCCACTCAGACGAGACCCTGACCTTTCGCCGTCCCAACCGTGGAATTCACTTTCATTCTTTGGAGCTTCGATTGAGCTTGTGCCCTCCTCATAATCTTCATACTGATCCCGACCCTGATCTTCGTCCTGATGAAAGCTACGATCCCGATCCGGAAGATTCCCACCCTCATCAACGATATCATAAGGTGAAGATGTTTTTGGGCCGGGGCTGCTTCCTGCATGGCTTCCTTCTGGGTTCTGGTGCTGGTGCTAGTCTTTGATGCCTCTTGCTCTTGAATGTCTTGTTACCGGCTCTTCATAAGTCTCATCTTCCTCGGCATAAGCCTCATCCCCATCCGCATCCATAGTAGTATCAAGCCCATCCGATGCCTGGGAAGAAGACGGTTCTAGCGGGGCCTGCTGAAGCTGAGCAGCAGCAGCATCCCTCGCAGCAGCTCCAGTAGTTTAGTTACACCCCTCCCGCCTCTACGTGCTGTTGCACGACCACGAGATGGAGATGCTGGTGCTGGGGATGGGCCTGTATGGGACCTTCGGGGGAGAGGTTGCTCTTCTTCTTCGTCATCGGGGTCGACTGAGGGGATCGACGGCGTTTGTTGTTATTGTTATTGTTGTTATTGTTGTTGTTGTTGTTGTTGTTTTCGCAGTTGTTTCAGAGTTATTGACGTTGTTGTTATTTCCGGAGTTGTTGATGGTGCCAGAGTTATTGGTGGATGCTTGTCGTCTGGATCTGGTGACGACCATCATTGAGATTCTTGTTGGAGTAGTCGGATGATGTAGGGTGATATTGCCGGTTTTCCTTGCGCACTGGGGGATTGTGTTGAAATGACGCAAGTCATTTGAGTTGGAGCGTAAGCGACGGAGATTTGGTGACACTTACCGACTGACGGAAATAACCAAATCAAGGTTGTTTTGGAGGATTGAGGTCAATAACATGGAATCGGAGTAACGGGTGGTTAGTGTATTTGGAAACAAGGTTATAAGGGGCGTTAGAGCGTGTAGTAATGGTTTATGATGTCAAGAGAGAGACGGAGAGAAACGGAGAGAATCGCTAAGCGAGTTCTTCCGCTCCATGAGTTATCACTTGTATGATCATAATAATGTATATAAGACCAATAGGTCAACCATGTACATGCTTATGCCTCTTAAAGGCAAGTGGATGAATACAAGTTAATTGGAATCTATTACTCTATTAAATGAACGTAACTAGACTCTCCAATAAACTATTTGTCTACTGCTTTAGGTACATCACTCCTCCACATCGGCTTCATTGCTCGTATCGAACTGTTCTAACAGACAGTAAAGTTACTCGCTACCCCTCCTAAAACGAACAGATTGATGGTTGACGTTGTGTCGGTAACCTCTTAAGGCTTGGGTCAAGTCTTGAATACGTCACCATGTTAACATTAACTCTCAAAACAGACATCCTAGGCATGAGGAGACTTACCAAATCCTTAGAAGGAAAATCAAATGCAGCGGGAATACTCAAGTACTGTGCCGGTACAGTAGATCCATCGCCGTGAGCCATGGTGGCTTATCTCAACCAAAGTTGGTTAATGGTGATCGTTTTTTAGTACCTCTCTATGCGCCATGTGGCGCGTCAGCAAAACGGATGGTGCCTGAAAAGAATGAACTCACCTTGATCATGATTGTCTTC